TCATAACGCTGTTTGTACTTAGAGGAGACAATCACCACGTCTGAAGCTTGGCTCTGAGGAGGCAGGGGGGGTCGGGGGCACGAAGGCAGAGAGGCTGGGTACGGGGAGAACAGTGAGATCCCTCTTGAGACCCTGGGGAAGAGCCTAGTCGAAGGCAGAAGGAGCCACAGGTCCTCGGTCTGCAGCGGGGGGGCGGGAGCGGGCACCGCGGGGCGGAGTCTGGTGTGCTGTGTGCCTCCGGACCCGAAGGACGACAGCCGAAGCCCACCCCTCCCAGGGCCTGGTCCCCTAGGAGCAGGGCTGTCTGCGGTCCCGCGATCACACGAAAGCCCTCCTTGCTCTTCCCGGCCCTCTAGTCTCCCGCCCCCGACTCCGCAGCGCTCTTCCTCCTCTACCGTTCCCGGTCCTCGTTTCCTGCCAGGACCCTCGCCCCTTTTACGTCTATTCACCTGCCCTCCTATGACAGGCAACGGCAGGATCTCGATCCCATAACGCATTTCGCTTAGTTCCTCCAGGTTCAGGCTCCCGACACCGCCAGCCAGACGTGCAGGTAACAGGAACCCCAGGAACAGCAGACACAACAGACTGGACAGCAGCGTTTCCGCCGCCATCTTTCGTTCCCCTTCTTATCCGGAGACACTCCTTCCGCCCTGAACCTGGCAGCGGCCTCACCCCGCCCATTAGCCTCGCAAGATATTATTGGCTGTGTGTCCTGTCTCTCACACGTATCCCATTTCCATTGGTAAACGTGACTCCGCAACTACGGGGAGGTAGACCACGATGATTAGCTAATCAATCGCTGCTCGTGATTGGTCAGAGAGAACAACCACTCAGCGATGAGATTAAGCCCCCTCCCTCCCTCTCCGACAGTTCCACAGGCACAGTCTACGCGCCCGGTTCTTTGAAGCAATTCTGGCATCCTCCCCCAGATTTCATGCTCACCTCTACTTATTGCTTTTTCAGACGTTTCTTGCAGTGTGTCTGATCCCCGCCGGGCGGAGTATGGAGGCGCGTGGATGGGGATACACCTGAGGGTTGTTTAATGCTTTTTGCAGAACACTTATTGTACAAAAGCACGCCCCTTCTCACATATACATGTTACTTCGGGACAATCGGGTAGTTCGTGTCAAAATCTTACACTATCCGGCAGTTGCCTTCCAATAAAATTATTATGAAGAAGTAATGGTGGTCAGGGGTGGTGCTGCACGCCTGTAATTCTAGCTACTCCCTGGGCAAATGTGACTCTAGTCTCAAAAAACGAAAAAAAAAAAAAAAAAAAAAAAAAAAGGGCAGGGGCTGGACGGGGTGACCCACGCCAGTAATCCCAGCGCTCTAGGAGCTTGAGGCAGGAAGATCTCAAATTCCAGTCCTGCCTGTGCGATTTAGCGAACCTCATCCTCCCCCGTCCCCCATAAAAGGGCGACCGGGGAAAGGCTGGAGACGCTGGGAACATAGCTCAGGTTAGAAAGCTTGACGAGCCGGCGCCGCGCGGGGCCCTGCGTTCGGTCCCCCGCCCTGGGCGCGCGGGGAGCGGGGTGCTTCGGGTTTAAAGGGCGAGGCGGTCAGGCTCTAAGGTAGAAAGCTGTAAGAACTAAGGAAAAGGAGACAACAGCGGCATTTTTGGAAACAGAAAAAGTAACTTGAGAAAACTGACTGCTAGCTGGGCGTGGTGGCGCACGCCTGTAATCCCAGCACTCCAGAGGCTGAGGCAGGAGGATCCTTGCAAGTTTGAGGCCAGCCTGGGCTACAACGTGAGCTCAAGGCCAGCCTGAACTGCTGGCCTTGGGAAATCCTGTCTCAAAAAATCAAAATAAAACGAACAACAACAACAAATTTAAAAAAGAAAGAAAACTGATTGCTTAACAAAATCAACAGCATGAGTATACCTTTGCAAAACCTTCTCTCGGCAGTCTCACCAGCCCAGAAGAAAAATCCCACAGATAGTTTCAGCAGGGTTCTCTTACTGAATTAGAGAATCCGGCTGTAAAAACCATCAGCCTGTATGCTGCAGCGCTCACACAGACATTTTGGTCAGCTTTTTCATGTCGTCTCTCTTATTTGGAAGCATACAAGCAAGCATCGTTAGATTATTAAAGAAAGGCTGTCATATACAAGAAAGAGGCGAGAAGCAAGCAAGAAAAGGAGATTAGAGGAAACATTGTAAAGGAAAATGTTTTTAATTTTTAAAAATTCTTCATTAGTGTTCTTGGAGAGATAAAATAGTGCACTCATGACAATAACAAGTTTATTTTGAAAGTAACTAATATTCATATAAGCTCCTCCCTCTCCTCAAAATCCTCTTGGAAATTAAAATCATGTAAGGAGAAATAATTCAATAGAAAGACTAGAGGATTAAGGTGTGGCTGTAACTCAGCGACAGAGCACTTGACTAGCATGTGTGAGGTACTAGTTTCCATTCCCAGGTGGTTTTTAGTTCTTTTGGAAAAATACCCAAGAGGGGAATAGCTGGGTTGAATGGGACCTGTAACCCTAGTTTACTGAGGAATCTCCAGACTGATTTCCACAGTGGTTGCACCAGTCTGCACTCCCACCAGCAGTGGAGAAGGGTTCCTATTTCTCCACAGCCTCGCCAGCATTTGTTATTGGTTGATTTCGTGATGGTAGCCATTCTTTCTGGGGTGAGGTGGAATCTCAGTGTTGTTTTCACTTGCATTTCTCCAAAAACCAATGATGTTGAACATTTTTTCATGTATTTATTTGCCATTTGTATTTCTTCATGTGAGAAGTGTGTATTCATCTTGGATGCCCAGTTTTGGATCCAGTCTTTGAATTTGGGGGTCCTGATTTTTTTTTTTAACTCTTTATACATTCTATATAGAAGTCCTTTGTCTAAGGGACAGTTGGCTAAAATTCTTTCCCAGTTTGTGGGTTTTCTTTTTACTCTGCTGGTGATTTCTTTAGATGTGCACAAACTTTTCAATAAGATGAGATCCCAGTTGTTGATTCTTTGAAGTATTTCCCGTGCAGTTTGGTGTTTGTTCATGAAATCTCTGCCTACCCCTATGTCTTCAAGATTTTTACCTACTTTCTCTTCCAGTAGATTTAGTGTTTCTGTTTTAATATTTAGATCTTGATCCATTTTGACTTCGGGTGGAGCATGAAGTCGAAGATCAAATTTGCTCTATTTGAAGGTAAAATTAACCAAAAAAAGAGAAAGGATTGACTCATAAAGTCAAGCATCTAAATAATAAGAGCACCAGAAAAACAATAGAGAACCAGGATGGAAGAAGTCATCAAATCAATTATTGAAAAGTTCTCTGAACTGAAGTAAGTCTCCAAATCGCAAGGGCATACTAAGCATCCAATACAACCAGTCGGATCCACACCAAGCACATCAGTATAGAATTTCAGAGCACTGGGTACAGAGAAGCAATTCTAAAAGCTTCCAAAAATTAAAAATTAAAAAGAGCAAATAGCACACATATATCAAAAGTCAGAATAATTTAAGTTTACCAACTTGTAGATACTGGAAGCTAAATGACAATAGAAAACGCCTTCACATTTTTAAGGGAAACTATTTTCAAACTCCAATTCTAGGGGCTGGGGATATAGCTCAGCGGTACAAATGCCTGCCTGGCAAGCTCAAGGTCCTGAGTTCAATTCCCAGTACCAGAAAAAAAACAAAAAAAAACAAAAAAACCCCTCCAATTCTACATTCAGCCAAACTATGATTCATTTGTGTACGCAGTATGAAGACCATTTCAGATATACAAGGTCTCAAAATATTGGAACTCTATGTATGCATTGTTTTTCAAAAACATAAGAGATTTATTACACCAAGACAAACCAGTACATCAAAAAAGAGATGTGTGGCCAGGCATGGTAGCTCACGCCTGTAATCCCAGCACTTGGGAGGCTGAGGCAAGAGGATACTTGTGAGTTCGAGACCAGCCTGGGCCACAAAGTGAGCTCAAGGCCAGCCTGAACTGCAGAGCGAGACCCTGTTTCAAAAAAGACAGAAAAAAAAAAAGAAAACAAAAACAAAACAGAGATGTGTGGAATCCAAGAATCAGGATCCAGCACCAAAGAGAGACAAAAGGAATTCCCAGGAGCCAGGTGGAGCACACCTGTAATCCCAGGACTTGGGAGGCTGAGGCAGAAGCATGCCCAAAATTTCAAGGCCAATTTGGGCTATATCGTGAGTACAAAGCGAGCCTGAACTGCACAGTGAGACTCTATATCAGGGAAAAAAAAAAAAGAATCCCCAGGGAAATGGTGAAAGGAAATACTAAGTTGTACAACAGTACAAGAGATCAACTCATTGAAATTACAGCAGTTCAAAAAAGGTGGGGTAATGTTTTTCGAGAATATAAATTGGGGCCGGGGATACAGCTCAGTGGCACAAGGACCTGCCTGGCAAGTGCAAGGTCCTGAGTTCAATACCCAGTACCAAAAAAAAAAAGAAAAAAAATCTACATGGATTTATGGAGAAGAGATGCATAACCAGAAGAATTTGGGGGCCTATTAATAAATATGTGGAAAACTAAGAGAAAGAAAAGACAATTATTAATTCTAATAATAAAAAGTTGGACAGGAAAAAACAGGTTTCTGTTTTCTTTGATATGATATGTATTTCCAAAAGAACTAAGACCAAAAAAAAAACCCTAAGAAATGGTGGAGACTAAAAAAATGCCTTCTTAAAAGCATAACAACATCAACAAGATAGTAAAAAATTAGAACCAGGCATGGTGTTGCACTCTTGTAATCCCAGTACTTGGAAGGCTGAGGCAGGAGGATCTCTGTGAGTTCGAGACCAGCCTGGGCTGCAAAGTGAGCTCAAGGCCAGCCTGAACTGCATAGTGAGACCCTGCCTCAAAAAGACAAAATAGGGGCTGGGGATTTAGCTCAGCGGCACAGCGCCTGCCTGGCAAGCGCGAGGTCGTGAGTTCAGTTCCCGGTACCAAAAAAAAAACCCACAAACAAAAGACAAAATAAATAAATACATTAACTGATTAAAAATAAATTAAGTTAGGAACTTAGAGATATTTGAAAAAATGCAGTCATAGTAACTTGGAAAGCATTTGCCAAATGTACAGACTTGAGCTTTGTCTGTCTCTTTTCCAAGGGAAAGGGACAAAAGATTCACCTGAGCTGCGGATTCTAAGAGGAGATGCGCCCTGCTGGGAACCGTTCCCAGGGAATGCCGTGAAAATCGCTGCAGTGTCCAACCAAATTGGGAGAATTACTAACCTTAAATAGGCCCTTACACAAATTTGCAATCTTATGTCAGATCCAGGAGGTTTAAAAAACAAAAGGCCAGGCCGTGAAATCTGCTTAGTTGGGGGAACAAGGTCTATTGACAGATGTCAGAACTGTGTGGAACTTGTGTGCTGTAAGTTATGAGAGAGAAAAAAACTATTTGGTTACACTGAGTATTTGGTGACCGTCATCAAACTCACATTCTCTCTTTTTTTCTTTTTGAGCCAAGGTCTCGCTATGCAGTTCAGGCTGGCCTTGAGCTCACTTTGTAGCTCAGGCTGGCCTTGAACTTGCAGCGATCCTCCTGCCTCAGCCTCCTCAGTGTTGGGATTACAGGCGTGCAGCCACCAGGCCCGGCTCCAGAATCTATCATTTTGCAATGTCAAAATCTAAAAGTAGATCTGCAAGAGCCAACATTCATTTAGCAGCAACAACAAAACTCAGCACCAACAGCTAATGGCTTCAGATGAAATCTTATTCCAGGCTTATCACCCCAGGGAGGCCCTTTGCTTCAGCAGACTGTTAGATCCAGACTTTCAGCCATCTTGTTCTGAAGGGGCCCTCATAGGCTTCATAGTTCCTGTTGTGAAAAAAAAAAAAAAAAAAAAGGTCTTGCTCCTGTGGTCTGTTTATAGATGAATGCCATAATTTTCTGGCAATCAAATTTTGGATAGATCTTAATGAAAGTATTGTTAAACCTCACCTGCTAATTGCTGCAAGCCATCTCCAGTGGCAACCAGAACCCAAATCCAGAATTCCTACTTCATTTGCTGTAGATTTTTCCGTGTTTCCTCCAGCCCAAAAGGTGACCACTTTGGCTGGGCATGGTGGTGCATGCCTGTAATCCCAGCACTCGGGAGGCTGAGGCAGGAGGATCATTGCAAGTTTGAGGCCAGCCTGGGCTACAAAGTGAGCTCAAGGCCAGCCTGAACTGCATAACGAGACCCTGTCCCAAAAAAAGATAAAAAAAAAAAAAAAAAAAAGATGACCACAATAAAAAATAAAATAAAATAAAATAATAAAAAGGTGACCATTTTCAGGATGGATTCAGCGAAATGAAAAATGCTGACATATTTTGCAATGATGCAGAAAAGAAGCTCCTGCATTTACTTAATGTAAACGATCCCAAGAGCTCCGCCCCAACTAAAGCTAGTATACCAGAGCCACACACCGCTCCGACAGCCCCTGGTACAGGGAACAGGCGTCTGATGTCTTCTCCTAGTAGTGAGATGAGGTATCAGAGGCCTTTATCACTTTGTTCACCAAAAGGGAAGCCTGTGGCCCCACCCAGATCGGCCCAGGTAACTTCAAAGTCTTGTGAGGGGGTGAAAGCAGCGAATGATCCAAAACAGGGCAAAAGGAAAATAGCCCTGGGTCTCCTGAGTCCAGTGCCTTCACGCTCACCTGTCCGTCCCACTTGCATACTTGGTTCCCTAGCCACACGGAAGGCATTTCAGCCACCACGGATTTATGGCACCAAGAGCAAAACACCTATAAAGAGAAAGGAATTGAATTCCTCTCAGATGACTCCACTTTAAAAAGCCAGTGAAGTCAGGCGTGGTGGCGCAAGCCTATAATCCCAGCACTGGGGAGGCTGAGGCAGGAGGATCGTTGTGAGTTGGAGACCAGCCTGGGCTACAAAGTGAGCTCACGGCCAGCCTGAACTGCATACTGAGACCCTGTCTCAAAAAGACTAAAATAAAAAAAAAAAAGACTAAAATAAAATAATTATGCTAACTCTGTTTAAAGAAATAAAAGGGAAACTTGAATATATATTGGAAACTATAAAAAAACTATAAACATAATATAACACATTTTAGACAGAGCCTCTAAAAAAATAAAATAAAATAAAATAAAACAGAGCCTCTAGAAATGAAAAGCATTAAGCTGCTAGGAAATCTAAAAAATGTAACCACAGGACTTACGCTTCACAGTAGGGAAGATGTTCCGAAGAGTAACTCTTGGACGGAGGAGCCACCGGGGGCCCTGCCTGGAGCATCACGCTGTGCAATGACAAAGTATTTGGTAAACGAGCGCCTGTAATAACGTGAAAAGGGCACCATATGCTCTTGAGCCTGGAGCTCTGGGGAAAGGGGCGGGAAAAGAATCAAATGGCCGGGGGCTGGGGATTTAGCTCAGCGGCACAGCACCTGCCTGGCAAGCGCAAGGTCGTGAGTTCAATTCCCAGTACA